AAAAGTTCCCAAACAGCCCGTCCAGCGAAGGAAAGGCACCCTGTGTGAAAAATCCTATATTTTCCTGTAAAAAAAAAAATACATGTATTCCTGTAGATTTTTCAGATTTTCACTCTCAAAATCACACTTTTTTAAATAGAAAAAATACAAATATTTGATGGTCTAAGTCCACAACGATGCTAAAACCACATCAATCTGATTAGGTGGGCCTGTCATGGCCTGGCTCCCCAGTGGGTGGGCCTCTTACCACCAAGGCCCATCCATGTCTACGCCCCTGATGCAAACAGTGCATGATGACAATTGCACATCACAAATAGCCTACTAACCAACACTTCGGACTAAACTATTTAAATACCTGGTTTGCATACCCAATGTTGCCTTAGTTAGCATTTACTGGTAGAAATCATAAGTTGAAACATCTTTCCTACCCTACCGACTACCGATGTCATTCTTCTGTGAGCTGCTCCATGCCAAAACTAGTTGAGAGCTGCACACTCTTGCTGCATGCAGATTATATTCCGCTGAAAGTAGGCTATGTGTGCGGTGCGCATGTGAATATATTTCACATGCTTTGCGATTGTGTAGGCTACTTGGATGATTTCTCTATTGTGCTATAATTGATAAGTCCTATACCTCCACTATACTACTTTGATACGCATCAGTAGGGATTAAGAAGTGAGTATAAGCAATGCCCACTGAAAAAAAGTGGTATATGGCTTATACCTGTGTAATCCCTCCACTACACCACCGGCCCTTTGTGTTTACAAAAAAGTGCACTCTCCTACATGAGTGCGCCGGTATTACGGTTGCTGTCCTTTCAGAATCACCAACCTGTCACACACTGAAGGCATATAGGTTCGCCACTGCGCAAACATGTCTATAACAGATATAAAGGCTGTTAAGATATTAATGTTTCAACAAAGGAGTGTATATATTTGGCCTGGCGAAGTGGTTTATGTGCTGACCGAAAGGAAGCTGATAATTAAGAGTTTTTTACTCCGCTGGTCTCGGGAAGAAATTACTAGTCCTCACTGTCCGAGACCGAGTCAAGACCGAGTACAAATGAGTCAAGACCGAGTACAAATGTATCTGACACCGAGACAAGACCGAGACACTCAATAAGTGCTTTTCGAGACCAGACTCCAGTACTACAACACTGACATACAGCCTAATGAAATATAATATAGTACAGTATATATACATACTGAGTATATCAAACATTAGGAGCACCGTTGTGTCAAGTTGGCTGGATGTCCTTTGGGTGGTGGACCATTCTTCATACACACGGGAAACTGTTGAACGTGAAAAACCAAGCAGTGTTGCAGTTCTTGACACAAACCGGTGCGCCTGTCACCTACAACCATACCCTGTTCAAAGGCACTTAAATCTTTTGTCTTGCCCATTCACTCTCTGAATGGCACACATACACAATCCATGTCTCAATTGTCTCAAGGCTTAAAAATCATTTTTTAACCTGTCTCCTCCCCTTCATCTACATTGATTGAAGTGGATTTAACAAGTGACATCAATAAGGGATCATAGCTTTCACCTGGATTCATGTGGTCAGTCTATGTGATGTAAATGAGCAGGTGTTCTTAATGTTTTGTATCCTCAGTGTATATATATATATATATATATATATATATATATACAGCTCTGGAAAAAATTAAGAGACCACTGCAAAATTATCAGTTTCTCTGGTTTTACTATTTATAGGTATGTGTTTGGGTAAAAATAACATTTTTGTTTTATTCTATAGACTACTGACAACATTTCTCCCAAATTCCAAATAAAAATATTGTCATTTAGAGCATTTATTTGCAGAAAATAACAACTGGTCAAAATAACATAAAATATGCAGTGTTGTCAGACCTCGAATAATGCAAAGAAAATAAGTTAATGTTCATTTTTAAACAACACAATACTAATGTTTTAACTTAGGAAGAGTTCAGAAATCAATATTTGGTGGAATAACCCTGATTTTCAATCACGGCTTTCATGCGTCTTTCACATTGATGTTGGGTGACTTTATGCCACTCCTGGCGCAAAAATTCAAGCAGCTCGGCTTTGTTTGATGGCTTGTGACCATCCATCTTCCTCTTGATCACATTCCAGAAGTTTTCAATGGGGTTCAGGTCTGGAGATTGGGCTGGCCATGACAGGGTCTTGATCTGGTGGTCCTCCATCCACACCTTGATTGACCTGGCTGTGTGGCATGGCGCATTGTCCTGCTGTAAAAAACAATCCTCAGAGTTGGGGAACAATGTCAGAGCAAAAGGAAGCACGTTTTCTTCCAGGACAACCTTGTACGTGGCTTGATTCATGCGTCCTTCACAAAGACAAATCTGCCCGATTCCAGCCTTGCTGAAGCATCCCTAGATCATCACAGATCCTCCACCAAATTTCACAGTGGGTGCGAGACACTGTGGCTTGTAGGCCTCTTCAGGTCTCCGTCTAACCATTAGACGACCAGGTGTTGGGCAAAGCTGAAAATCGGACTCATCAGAGAAAATGACCTTACTCCAGTCCTCTACGGTCCAATCCTTATGGTCTTTTGCAAACCTCAGCCTGGCTCTTCTTTGCTTCTCACTGATGAAGGACTTTTTTCTAGGTTTGCACGACTTCAGCCCTGCCCCTAGGAGCCTGTTTCGAACCGTCCTTGCCGTGCACTTCACCCCAGCTGCCGTTTGCCATTATTTTTGTAGGTCACTTGATGTCATCCTACGGTTGTTGAGTGACATTCGAATGAGTTGGCGGTCATCCCGGTCAGTAGAGAGTTGTTTTCTGTAACTTTGTTGTCCCCAATGTCTGCTGCTTGAACTTGTTCTTATGAACCGCCGTCATTGAAATGTTAAGGATGGAAGCAACCTGACGCTCACTGTATCCCTCTGCCAGTAAAGCCAGAATTGAACCCTTCTTTTCCTCACTCAAAACGTTCCTTTTCAACTCTTTTGGCATGGTCCATAGTTATTTTTTGATTAATATTACTTTTGAGGTACTATTAGTACTGTTTTTGCCATCCAGTTGGTCCTATTGCAAGAGGATAGTGATGACCACAGCAGTGGTTTTTATACTTTTCCTCGTTAAATAAGATTATGTTCAGGTGATCACCTAATCAGTACCTAATTCAGTAGAATGAGGTTTGCCTGTGTTGGAATTCAACAGACACTGGAATGCAATGGCTGTCATACATGTAGAGATGCTGATTTAAGAAAAATGTGCAGTGGTCTCTTAATTTTTTCTAGAGCTGTATGTATGTATATATATATATATATATATATATATATATATATATATATATATATATATATATGTATACACATTATTTTAATAGCAGGACCCTGTAAAGTCCATTATCAATCAATCAAGCAATCAATCACATTTATTTATAAAGCCCTTTTTACGTCAGCAGTTGTCACAAAGTGCTTATACAGAAACCCAGCCTAAAACCCCAGAGAGCAAGCAATGCAGATGTAGACGGTGGCTAGGAAAAACTCCCTAGAAAGGCTGGAACCTAGGAAGAAACCTAGAGAGGAACCAGGCTCTGAGGGTTGGCCAGTCCTCTTCTGGCTTTTTCAAGATGTTCAAACGTTCATATATGACCAGCAGGGTCAAATAATAACCACAGTGGTTATAGAGGGTGCAACAGGTCAGCACCTCAGGAGTAAATGTCAGTTGGCTTTTCATTATACCTCTGAAGAGTATGAATTAGGCTATTTAAAAAGGCTTGAATCCTAAGCAACCTGCATACACATTGTTGGAAGTACAATAGACCAACATAGCTACTGTAGTAGGTCGAAGCTGTGTGCTGGAAAACCTTGGTGAAGTATGCATTCTGGTGCTCATGTGAATTTCCTTTATTTTTCGGCTTCAGTCCAATGGCTACCTCTCACTTAATGCTGCAATATGTAACTTTTTGGGCGACCTGACCAAATTCACATAGAAATGTGTGTTATAGATCTGTCATTCTCATTGAAAGCAAGTCTAAGAAGAAGTAGATATGTTCTATGTGCACTATTTCTATGCTTCCCATTCTTATGTTTTGTTTTTGCATCTTTTACTTGAGTTTCTGTACACCCGCTTCAAACAGTTGGAAATACAATGTTGTTGGTAATGGAAAATATATTTCACAGAGGTTTAGATGGTACAATGATTTTCTACACTATACAGTGGCTTGCGAAAGTATTCACCCCCCTTGACATTTTTCCTATTTTGTTGCCTTACAACCTGGAATTAAAATGGATTTTTTGGGGGTTTCTATCATTTGATTTACACAACATGCCTACCACTTTGAAGATGCAAAATATATGCCTGATCTGTACTTCTCCACAACTTTGTCCCTGACCTGTTTGGAGAGCTCCTTGGTCTTCATGGTGCCACTTGCTTGGTGGTGCCCCTTGCTTAGTGGTGTTGCAGACTCTGGGACCTTTCAGAACAGGTGTATATATACTGAGATCATGTGACAGATCATGTGACACTTAGACGGCACAAAGGTTGACTTTATTGAACTAATTATGACTTCTGAAGGTAATTGGTTGCACCAGATCTTATTTAGGGGCTTCATAGCAAAGGGAGTGAATACATATGCACGCACCACTTTTCCATTATTTATTTCATAGACTTTTTTGAAATAAGTTATTTTTTTAATTTCACTTAATCAATTTGGACTATTTTGTATATGTCCATTACATGAAATCCAAATAAAAATCAATTTCAATTACAGGTTGTAATGCAACAAAATAGGAAAAACACCAAGGAGGATGAATACTTTTGCAAGGCACTGTACTTGCTTGTTTTGTCACATAAACTGAAATTAGGCGAACTATTTTGCAACTAGGAAATGGCAGAGCGATTTCTGCATAGTGCATCTTTAAAACATAGATTTTTGTTTTTAATAGCTTATATTTCTGTCGAGTCATTTCTCAGTATAGCCTAGTAGTTTTAGAGCTTAAGATTTGTAGACTGAGATGTAAGCCTACAGGCATGCTATAGTAACCAACATGAAGTTATAAAAGTAAGGGGACATTATTGAGGCAAACACAAGAGTGAGATAGGAGGTACTGGTTATTATCATCAATCCTTTCAGACCATCAGAGTGTCTCTGTGAGAGGCCACTCAAGCCCAAAACACTGTCCCTCTTCCCTTTCCTGTCTTCCTCCCCTGCCCTGGGTGCTGCTTTATGTTTTCATTGTTCAATAAAGAACGGGTGATGAATGAGCACTTGCGAGCCGATGTAGAGCCCCTATTTGTTTTGTTTTCTCTGGCAATTGGTCACCCCACTGTAAACAGAGACAGCCTCACAATAGGAACTGTGGAGGAGAAATCAATGGGATGATTTAGCAGCTGCTACTTGGCCAAAGGGCCAGTAAATGACCATTTAGCCTAGTGATCACAGTGGCGGCTGAGCTCTGAGGCAGCTAGCGTCGGGCCGGGCCATCTCTGTGACACTCTCACATTGATCATGTGATGGGGCCAGCAGAGCTCGATACTCCACTCAAGCTCCCATTTCCAGTGACTCTATAGTTATTATGATTTTTGTTTGTGTGCTCCAGATCAGAGATAATCTCCCATCGATCCCAGTGTGGTTATCTGAGTCCATGTGACGGCCCCGGCTTAGCGACTATATCAACATATCGCCCCATGAAAAGGATAAAGGCTGGCTGGCTGAAGGAGCACTCTGTGCCAATCTCTGCTCTGATGAGAGGGCAGCAGTTGATTTCTCAGTGGGGAGCCATTTTACCACCTGGATAGTCATCCACTCATGTAGAGTTAAAAATATAGCCTGTATAGAATTAAGCACCCCTGGCTGTAACCTGGCAGAATCATTACAGACAATGCTGAAGGTCTCCATGAATAGTTGCATTTCATTGTGATGTGTTAATATTGTCTTGTGTGGCCTTGTCTTGCTCCTGTAGGTGGTGCTTTCATGGCTACATTGTTAATATGTGTCACCCTCCTAGTGGTACATGTGCTGGCATGGTTTTTTTCAGGGTGGGGTGACAGCTATGGGGGGGCGGGAGAGAGGGGGGCACTGGCGGCTCTGAAAGCTTGTTCTCCCCAGACCACATGTCCCTTGTCTCTCTGGGTGGTGTGTTGTGTACCCCCCTCACCTCCCCCCTGGAGGGAGACCCCATTCAGGCTTAGTGCTGGCTGGCTGGGCTGCTCTGACAGATGACAGCATGTTGACCACAGGAAGGGATCCCTTTAGTCATCCCCACTCCCATTGTGCTCTGCTCTACAGTACTGTAGCCTAGTCACACCACACACACAGAAAGACAGATAGATAGACAGACAGACTGGGGACAGAGCAAGTGTTACTTTAGCAGCATCTCACCCAAACCACATCCTCCCTCTCTGACTAATGGGGGGAACTGTCATTGTGAGGTACAAATGTATTACAGTTACTGTGAGTTTATGTGGATGTGTATAGAATTTGATTCATGTAAATAAATGGATGAAAATGTCCCAGTCATCAGGTAGTGCTCAAGGCTGGGGCATTAGGATGCTACGGCAGAGGGAAATGAAGGTTTGCTGTTTTTCTAGTCTGACCATGATCTGTTTCTTTCTCTCTTTCAGTTCAGCAGATGAGAAGTTTCGCTGGAATAACCAAGGTACGTACATTGTACTAAGTCCTTCACCAATGCATCTTGTTCTATATTATGTGACAGAGCATGCAGCAAGCTCAGTGGAATTGTATACATTGTAATGATAGGTGCATCTTGAGAGTGGAGTGGAGTGGACCATGCCTCGCTCCTAGGTCTGGACAGCTGTCATAATTTGTCAGACAGAACAGCAAGCGCTGTGTCTGTCCGGTGTGAAATATGGACATCTAGTTGAGACTAGAGCAAAGTATGAACCACATACCACACCCTTGTCTTCTAAAGTTTCAAACATAGGTAGTTTAGGATTTGATTGAAGCAGTGGTCAAAGATTTATGACTGCAAGTCATGTTCAGGATTCTGCTTCCCCTTAGTCATCTACTATGTGAAAGTTAAACTGATTTTTATTACATTTGAGTCATTTAACAGATGCTCGTATCCAGAGCAAATAACTGTAGTGAGTGCATACATTTTCTTTCGTACTGGTCCCCCATGGGAATCGAACCCACAACCTTGGCGTTGCAAGAGCCATGCTCTACCAACTGAGCCACACAGGACTGATGGATGAGTTTAGAAATGTTTGGAATGTGTTTAGGAATGTTGCACAAACATAATTATCTCAGAGTTAAAACATAGTAATCATCCTTATACGGTAGTAGCCTCAGCCTCCATGCCTGCCACTATTGAAGAGAGATTAATGCTGATCTTAAACCTCTTGTGTAAGGCTTTATCCCTTGGCACTGTTTGCCAAACTGAAGACAGATGACAAGTATGTCAGTTTCTGTAGGCACGGACAGACAGATAGACAAGGAGAAGGTACGGCACGGCAGAGACACATTTCAGTGAATAGTGAAGCTACAGAGCTTTTGGTTTATCTAGCATGGTCACTACCACTTTGCCGTCAGTGTGCCTGTAGTAAACCTCAGCTGCTTGTACATTTTGGACTATTTGTGAGGTAACGGTACAATAATCCTGCTTCTCCATTCATTGCTGTGTCTCCACAGACGGACAGAAGGACATTGAGGAGGAACTGACGACTGGCTTGGAGCTGGTGGACTCCTGCATTAGGTCACTCCAGGAATCTGGGATCCTTGACTCCCAGGAATTCTCCACAGGTGACAGTAAGGATGCTCCTTACATTATACAGTGCAGACAATTTTTTGGTATATTAAAACATACAATCTACTTGCAGTGAAGCCGCTCAACATTTACATTACATTCAGTCATCTAACATCTGCCTTTTTCGAAAGTTGAAACGTGAATAAAATGGTTTGATTTCCAAGCTGAAAGACATTGTATCCTTACCATAGATAAGATACACTACATGACCAAAAGTATGTGGACACCTGCTTGTCGAACATCCCATTCCAAAATCATGAGCATTAATATGGAGTTGGTCCCCCCTTTGCTGCTATAACCACCTCCACTCTTCTGGGAAGGCTTTCCACTAGATGTTGGAACATTGCTGCGGGGACATTGCTGCGGGGCCTGGCTCGCAGTCGGCGTTCCGATTCATCCCAAAGGTGTTCGATGGGATTGAGGTCAGGGCTCTGTGCAGGCCAGTCAAGATCTTCCACACCGATCTCGACAAACAATTTCTGTATGGACCTTTCTTTGTGCACGGGGGCATTGTCATGCTGAAACAGGAAAGGGCCTTCCCAAACTGTTGCCACAAAGTTGGAAGCACAGAATCGTCTAGAATGTCATTGTATGCTGTAGCATTAAGTGGGGCCTAGCCCAGACCATGAAAAACAGCCCCAGACTATTATTCCTCCTCCACCAAACTTTACAGTTGGCACTATGCATTAGGGCAGGTAGCGTTCTCCTGGCATCCGCCAAACCCAGATTTGTCTGTTGGACTGCCAGATGGTGAAGCGTCATCCATCACTCCAGAGAACACGTTTCCACTGCTCCAGAATCCAATGGCGGCGAGTTTTACACCACTCCAGCTGACGCTTGGCATTGCGCATGGTGATCTTAGGCTTGTGTGCGGCTGCTCGGCCATGGAAACCCATTTCATGAAGCTCCCCGAACAGTTCATGTGCTGACGTTGCTTCCAGAGGCAGTTTGGAACTCGGTAGTGAGTGTTACAACCGAGGACAGACGATTTTTACATGCTACGCGCTTCAGAACTCCACTTCACAATAGCAGCACTTACAGTTGACCGGGGCAGCTCTAGCAGGGCAGAAATTTGACGAACTGACTTGTTGGAAAGGTGGCATCCTATGACGGTACCACATTGAAAGTCACTGAGCTCTTCAGTAAGGCCATTCTACTGCCAATGTTTGTCTATGGATATTGCATGGCTGTCAGCAACAGGTGTGGCTGAAATAGCCAAATCCACACTTTTGTGTATATATAGTGTATTTTAGAATTCATGAATCACTAGAAATAGACAAATAGCATGTCGTCCCAAATGAAAAAGGCAGGAAGATATTGTTCAAGCCAACACAGATAGCATAAGTTCACTGCAACACTTTTTCATCTTGGACATTTTTAGAGATGATTGGCTTATCAAAAGTCTAAATGTCAAGAAAAATGTCAAGAATTATCTGTACAAAATCAACCAGATACAGAAATTCTTGGTAATAGGATCTCTCTCTTTTGTAGAGCACTGAGTGATGTCAATGACTGTGAATGTTTCAATCAGGAACTAGATACCGCAGGTGTTCAAGTCTCTTATCACGCGTTCTGCATTCAAAACAGTTGTTTTCCCTTTTCTTCTGATCCCTCACTTCATTTGATCCAAGCAATGATCTTCATCTTTTTACTACGAGCTACTGAGAGAGTATTAGCTGTCAGGAGAGATTCAGCGTATGTCAAAGGTTTGATATGGAAATGATGTCTCACTGAGGCATCAGCAGCTTCCTTTGAGCACAGCAGAGTACACATGTGTATGAGGAACATGGTTTCAAAACAGCCACTACAAAAGCAATCACATTCATATTCAATGTGCTGAAAAGAGCAGCGAGTTTTGGAGCTAGAAAGAAAGAAAATGTGCAGATAGTACTAGTATATGCAGTCTGTGTGTGTGTGTGTCTATGGGTATACGTACGTACGTGCGCATGCATACATGTATGTGTGTCATAGTCTGTGTTTGTACGTGCATGTGCATTCCCTCTCTAGCAGTTAGGCTAAAATGAAAAATGTAAATGTGTTCATACAGAATACAGATTATAGACTAGATGAATGAAGGAGCCACTCCCTGCATATTTAAAGCACCCTAAGCGACCACCTTGCCAGGGATATTCCTCTGGTCTGCTGGACTACTTTACTTTACCACACACACACACACACACACACACACACACACACACACACACACACACACACGGACTCTTCTAAGAAGGATCCTGTAGTATTCACTTAACTTCCTGAAATCCTCTCCCAAAGACTCGCTACCATTAACATGATTATGTATTTATGAAATACTCGACTACTTAAATGCTCCAATGCACATATGTAACAGTATGAAGTTGTTTTTCATACAGCCGCTATTAGATAAATGTCACAAGATAAATAATATTGAGTCACTTACGACAGCATTTTCAGTGCTAGTTACAGCAATCAGATTTTTCATAATGAGCTAGCTCACTTTTCTTGAATGAAAATTATGGCAGTATGTGCAGTGCGTGTTCCTGTGTGTGTGTGTGGGGGGGGGTGACACACACACACACACGGACTCTCTTCCTGGGGGGGGTGACAGAGAGAGTCCCCTGTAGCTCAGTTGGTAGAGCATGGCGCTTGCAACGCCAGGGTTGTGGGTTTGTTTCCCACGGGGGGCCAGTATGAAAAATGTATGCACTCACTAACTGTAAGTCACTCTGGATAAGAGCATCTGCTAGATGACTAAAATGTAATGTGTGTGTGGGTGGCGGGATGACAGAGAGAGAGATGTTTGCGTGCGCGTGTGTGTGCCAAAGGCAGTTATTGGGCCAGTTACTCCACTCTAATGTGAAAATAAGGTGGGTGTTGCCAGACCAACATGGATGTGAGAGTAAACACAGAGGAAGGTGTGAAGGCAGTCAAGGGAGGAAGCCTCACTGACCTGAGAGCGGTGTAGAGCACTGAAACAGGTTCACAGCATTTTATTTAATGACACGCACAGTACTCACAGCTATGTTGCTGAAAATAGTATGCTACTATACTGTACTGTAGTGTAGAGTAAATTGTATTTATTTTTGTGTGCAGTAATTCTATTTTCGATTTACAATACTGTGGCTAATATACAGTATACTGTATAATACAATATACTGCATCCTATTGCTTGGGTAATGTAATGAAAATGTAGGCCTATGGAAATAAAATGCTGATGTTAGTGTTACTATTTGAATTGAATGCAAACTGTGCTGTTATTTACAGGAGTTCTGGCAAAGCACAAAAATGCAGGTCAGCGTTAGTTTTTCTGCATGCAATTGAAATTACCTGTACGAGAGTTGTGGGGCCCAAAAAACTCTGTAGTCTGTGATTACTTTTATTGTTGGCCTCATTCTGCACCACTTGTGCTCAGTGACTCCCAATTCCTCCTGATCCCTCCTGATCCATTATGCATGCTCTCTCTTTCTCCATCTCTGCCTCTCTGGGTTTGAGAGAGGGAGAGAGACAGGGAGAGAGAGAGGCAGAGAGAGAGGGAGAGAGGCAGAGAAAGAGGTAGGTAGGTATAAAGGTAGTTATGTACAGAGAAAAACAAACAGAGAGAGAGACAGGGAGAGAGAGACAGGGAGAGAGAGACAGGGAGAGAGAGACTGGGAGCGAGAGACTGAAAGAGAGGCAGAGAGAGTGAGAGAGTGATGGATGCAGAGAGGCAGAGGTGAAAGAGAGTGTGGGGGATACAGAGACAGAGGGTAAGAGGTTGTCTCAATATTTCAGCTCCACTCTCCTCCCCAAACAGGACAAGGCCTGCTATCCCAGAGTGCACTGCAGCTCAACAATCAGGATGGAACACTCCCTTACCCAGCCGGTTACCACAGCAACCAGACACTAGAGGCCCCGCCCCGCAGTGGCCAGGTGGGAGGGGCAGTCCACAGTTACAACCAGGTGGGTGAGATTTAGGTTGTGTCCCAAATGGCACCATATTCCAGAGCCCTTGTCAAAAGTAGTGGACTATATAAGGAATAGAGTGCCATTTGGAACGTGCTCTTAGATTGCCAAGGTCAAAGATAATTTAGCCTTTTTGCTGTATAGTCTGGATTTCAAGATGGCATGTGATCTAGGTGGAAGATTAGATTAGATTAGTTTATTAGTCACATGCACAGGGTCGCAGATGTAATTGCAGGGTACAGTGAAATTCTTAAGCTCCGAGCTCCAACAGTGCAGGTCAGAAAGAGATGTGAATGAAACAATAATAATAATAATAACAATATATACATACATATAGTGAGCTCCAAAAGTATTGGGACAGTGACACAATTTTTGCAGTTTTGGCTCTGTACTCCAGCACTTTGGATTTGAAATTATACAATGACAATGAAGTTAAAGTGCGGACTGTCAGTTTTAATTTGAGGGTATTTTCATCCATATTAGGTGAACCGTTTAGAAATTGCAGCACTTTTTGTACATAGTCCCCCCATTTTAGGGGACCAAAAGTATTGGGACAAATGTGTATTAAAGTAGTCAAAAGTTAAGTATTTGGTCCCATATTCCTAGCACACAATAATTACATTAAGCTTGTGACTCTACAAACTTGTTGGATGCATTTGCTGTTTGTTTTGGTTGTGTTTCAGATTATTTTGTGCCCAATAGAAATGAATGGTAAATAATGCAGTGTGTCATTTTGGAGTCACTTTTATTGTAAATAAGAATATAATATGTTTCTAAACACTTCTACATTTTTGTAGATGCTACCATGATTATGGATAATCCTCAATGAATCGTGGATAATGATAAGTGAGAAGGTTACAAAAAATGCTAACCTCCAATGTTATTGTAATGGTGAGAGTTTAGCATGTCTTAGGGGAATGACATTTGTGCGTCTGTAACTTTCTCACTCATCATTATTCACGATTCATTCAGGACTATCCGTAATCATGGTAGCAAGTATTAGAAACAAGTGTCAAGTTCCCAATACTTTTGGTCCCCTAAAATGTGGGGACAGTCCGGCAAAAAGTGTACAAAAAGTGCTGTAATTTCTAAACGATATGGATGAAAATACCCTCAAACTAAATTTGACAGTCTGTACTTTAACCTCATAGTCATTGTATCATTTCAAATCCAAAGTGCTGGAGTACAGAGCCAAAACAACAACAAATGTGTCCCAATACCTTTGGAGCTCACTAAATTTACAACTGTAACAATGTTGCATGTCCATTGGGGGGTGGGAGCAGGGTAAATGTCAATTGAAACAATAATGCAAACAATAATAAGGTTCTTCCTGTGTTTCTTCAGGTGACATCTAGCCGTGCAGCCCAGCTGGCTGCCAGTGTAGACACCTCCCAGTCCCAGTCCAGAGATAGAGAGTTGTTTGCCCAGAGCCATGGCAGCGCCTTCCACATGCCTGACACCCCACCCACTCCTTCCATGTACTACTCTTGCTCCACCCTGCCCGCCCAACGTGTGAGCTCCCCCCACTCCATACAAGCTGTGGGCTCGCCCACCAAGCTCCAGCGCCTTGGCTCGGCCTCCGACATGCCCAGCTACGCCACCCTGCAGCGGGTCTCCTCGCCCAAGCAGTCCCCCAGCCGGCTGGCAAAGTCCTACAGCACCAGCTCCCCCATAAACATGGTGGCGGGGTCTGCCGGACTGTCCTCCACGTCTCCACTGCACATGGCCTCTTCAGGCAACACCTCGGGTTCGTCTCCTCTCCATCAGTTCAGCTCCACCGTGGGTAACTATGCCACCCTGTCCCCCAGCAAGCGCATGCAGCACTCCTCAGATCAGTACAAGATCTCCCACGAGCTGTACGCCAACGCCACCCTCGGGAGGCCTGGCAGCCTGGCAGGTGGGTTCACATGCTCAGACAGAGAGATAATATCTTTACATATATTATGTCTAAAATAGTGTTTTTTCTGTGGGTTGTATTCATTGATATATAAATATTCTCTCAAATTGTTTTAAATGCTGTAGTTAATAGGCTTGATAATACTAGATGTTGTTATTAACCATGTTTGGAATCATATAACGATGTTTCCTGTATTTGTGTTGTGGTGTTCAGGGTCCAGAGGCTCCTACAGCAGCCAACACAGTCACCTGGGCTCAGAGTTGCGACCTCTCCAGTCTCCTGAGCACCACATTGACCCCATCTACGAGGACAGGGTCTACCAGAAGCCCTCTCTCAGGAATCTCAATCAAAACCAGGGTGAGTCAGCCGGTCCGGAGCCCCTGCCCTGCAGCACTGGGCATCCCCTTATATTTTACTTTGTGGCTCGCCCACTTCTTAGCCAACCAAGTGTTATTGTTCCACAGTAGGTTATAGAGGGTTATTATTCAATGATAAAAATCAACAATTTTTATCGCTCCATCAGATTGTTTAGTTTATCTACATTTTTCAGTTCAGGTATGCAAATCCGATTAGCATCTTGATGGCAATTTGTTTTGTAGTCACAGATCATTAGATATTAGACAGAAATTAATCAAAATTAATCTTGCAGAATTTACGCTCAAGCATTGAAAACTGAGTCGGAGGCGCCCACCATTGTGAAATTCACTCCACAGTATTTAGCCTAATACTTTCTTTAATGAGCATGTGTATCCTCTCCACAGAATTTCCGCCTCACTTCATTGCATATTATGAAATCCTACTATACGATCTGAAAAGCTTTCATTTCCTAAAGGCTAGGGAATTGGAGTTATAATATTGCTTCCTGTTTGTAAAGACTGCAGGCTACTATATGAAAGAAACTGTGATTCTTACTGGTGTTTCATTGAGCATGGGTTGAGATGGTACAGACTGTCCATGAAGGCTGTTGGATCATATCCTCACAGCCAGTACTGTATCCCTCCTCTGCTGATTCTCAACCTAATCTTTCACCTCCTTTAAGACCTTCTCACACTGTACGTCGGATTCAGTCTTTTACGATTATTGGCATTTATTGTCATGAATCTTGCACTGGAGGCAGCTGTGCAGAGTGGTCACTAGCTGGCACAGCCACAAAGTCATAATATAAACCTAACCCTAACTTTGGCCACACTACTAACCCTAATGCCTACCCTAACCTTAAATTAAGATCAAAAGGCAAATGTTTGTTTTGCTGAATCCTTTACGATATAGCCAATTTTGACTTTGTAGCTGGCCCATCTAGCAGAAATCACTCAGCTCTACCTCCATGGCAAGATTCATGACGATAAGCATCAACCTGCGTTCACACTATGCAATGATAAAAAATTAATATCTTGATATCAACCTGGCCAGATTGTACGATTTGCTTCAGTTTTGTCATCACATTCTGTGATTGGCTTGAGAGGCTACGTCAGCCGATGCAGGCTACGTAAACTGCAGTAGTTTGATTTCCGCATGTGCCAGCACCAGCAGCGCAAGCCTCCCTCTATGCTTATGCGCCAGTGAAGTGAGTTCGGAAAAACTGAAAGTATGCATCTTAGAAATAGTTTTCACATGCAAACTTTATATGTCAGAGGCTTCCCAAAAATAACATGTGGTAGAACGTTGATTTTGATTGCCGATTTTATGCATTTATCAAAATCCCATCAGGTAGCCTGATTTTAGATGTAAACAAGATTAGTAGGGAAATCGTTCTTCTTGCAAAGCATGTCATCGTTTAAATCGAACTATTATATTAATCTAGCTATTCACAACAATCATATTATTGTGTGCATACTCAGTGCCGGCCCTGTTCCTATTGGCCCTGTTCCTCCCGGACCTGTTCCTTCCGGTATCGGCTCGTAACGCCAGCCACACTACACGATAAAGGCTCAACATTTTTGACAGTGCCAGAACTTTGTCAAAGCCTACGACCGCACATAGTGGTACTTAATCGGCAGATCTAGACCCTGTCACACTGAACAAGCCAAGACTTCCGACAATCGTTTATGACCTAAGAATTTGCCCACAATGTGGACATTTTGTCTGGGGTGGCAAAATCGTAGCATAAGACGGCTAAAATCGTACAGTCTGTGTTGGCCTTTAGGCAACCCCACAGGGCAACATTTCACATCTGGTGGTTTAATGTTGTTTTTTGCTCGTTTGGTTGTCCAAAATGTTGCATCAACATCAAATACACTGCTCAAAAAAATAAAGGGAACACTAAAATAACACATCCTAGATCTGAATGAATGAAATAATCTTATTAAATACTTTTTTCTTTACATAGTTGAATGTGCTGACAACAAAATCACACAAAAATTATCAATGGAAATCAAATGTATCAACCCATGGAGGTCTGGATTTGGAGTCACCCTCAAAATTAAAGTGGAAAACCATACTACAGGCTGATCCAACTTTGATGTAATGTCCTTAAAACAAGTCAAAATGAGGCTCAGTAGTGTGTGTGGCCTCCACGTGCCTGTATGACCTCCCTACAATGGCTGGGCATGCTCCTGATGAGGTGGCGGATGGTCTCCTGAGGGATCTCCTCCCAGACCTGGACTAAAGCATCCGCCAACTCCTGGACAGTCTGTGGTGCAACGTGGCGTTGGTGGATGGAGCGAGACATGATGTCCCAGATGTGCTCAAATGGATTCAGGTCTGGGGAACGGGCGGTCCATAGCATCAATGCCTTCCTCTTGCAGGAACTGCTGACACACTCCAGCCACATGAGGTCTAGCATATATTCTTGCATTAGGAGGAACCCATGGCCAACCGCACCAGCATCTGCTCTCACAAGGGGTCTGAGGATCTCATCTCGGTACATAATGGCAGTCAGGCTACCTCTGGCGAGCACATGGAGGGCTATGCGGCCCCCCAAAGAAATGCCACCCCACACCATGACTGACCCACCGCCAAACCGGTCATGCTGGAGGATGTTGCAGGCAGCAGAACATTCTCCACGGCGTCTCCAGACTCTGTCACGTCTGTCACATGTGCTCAGTGTGAACCTGCTTTCATCTGTGAAGAGCACAGGGCGCCAGTGGCGAATTTGCCAATCTTAAGGTTCTCTGGCAAATGCCAAACGTCCTGCATGGTGTTGGGCTGTAAGCACAACCCCCACCTGTGGACGTCGGGCCCTCATACCACCCTCATGGTGTCTGTTTCTGACCGTTCGAGCAGACACATGCACATTTGTGGCCTGCTGGAGGTCATTTTGCAGGGCTCTTGCAGTGCTCCTCCTGCTCCTCCTTGCACAAAGGCGGCGGTAGCAGTCCTGCTGCTGGGTTGTTGCCCTCCTACGGCCTCCTCCACGTCTCCTGATGTACTGGCCTGTCTCCTGGTAGCGCCTCCATGCTCTGGACACTACGCTGACAGACACAGCAAACCTTCTTGCCACAGCTCGCATTGATGTGCCATCCTGGATGAGCTGCACTACCTGAGCCACTTGTGTGGGTTGTAGACTCCGTCTCATGCTACCACTAGAGTGAAAGCACCGCCAGCATTCAAAAGTGACCAAAACATCAGCCAGGAAGCATAGGAACTGAGAAGTGGTCTGTGGTCACCACCTGCAAAACCAGTCCTTTAGTGGGGGTGTCTTGCTAATTGCCTATAATTTCCACCTGTTGTCTATTCCATTTGCACAACAGCATGTGAAATTTATTGTCAATCAGTGTTGCTTCCTAAGTGGACAGTTTGATTTCACAGAAGTGTGATTGACTTGGAGTTACATTGTGTTGTTTAAGTGTTCCCTTTATTTTTTTGAGCAGTGTATATAATGAAATCACAAATTGCAATGGGACACCTTTTTGTAGACCTATTCACATTTCAGACGGTGCCACAACGTTGTTTCTGTGATAATATGTATTCCAGTCAACCAACATTCATGGATCTGAAAGACAGTGAGGGAAAAAAGTATTTGATCCCCTGCTGATTTTGTACGTTTGCCCACTGACAAAGACATGATCAGTCTATAATTTTAATGGTAGGTTTATTTGAACAGTGAGAGACAGAATAACAACAAAAAAATCCAGAAGAACACATGTCATAAATGTTATAAATTGATTTGTATTTGAATGAAGTATTTGACCCCTCTGCCAAACATGACTTAGTACTTGGTGGCAAAACCCTTGTTGGCAATCACAGAGGTCAGACGTTTCTTGTAGTTGGCCACCAGGTTTGCACACATCTCAGAAGGGATTTTGTTTCACTCCTCTTTGCAGATCTTCTCCAAGTCATTAAGGTTTTGAGGCTGACGTTTGGCAACTCAAACCTTCAGCTCCCTCCACAGATTTTCTATGGGATTAAGGTCTGGAGACTGGCTAGGCCACTCCAGGACCTTAATGTGCTTCTTCTTGAGCCACTCCTTTGTTGCCTTGGCCATGTATTTTGGGTCATTGTCATGCTGGAATACCCATCCATGACCCATTTTCAATGCCCTAGCTGAGGGAAGGATGTTCTTACCCAAGATTTGACGGTACATGGCCCCGTCCATCGTCCCTTTGATGTGGTGAAGTTGTCCTGTCCCCTTAGCAGAAAAACACCACCAAAGCAAACCGATCCACAACAACTAAGATCGTAGTATTCCCTTGTGACGGGGGGAGGTCCGTAACAAAATCCACCGATAGATGTGACCACGGCCATTGTGGAACGGGTAGGGGTTGTAATTTCCCTCTGGGCAGGTGTCTAGGTGCCTTGCACTGGGCGCACACCGAGCAGGAGGAAACATAAACCCTCACGTCCTTAGCTAAAGTAGGCCACCAGTACTTCCCACTAAGACAGCACACTGTCCGACCGATGCCAGGATGACCAGAAGAGGGTGACGTATGAGCCCAATAGATCAATCGATCGCGAACATCAGACGGAACGTACACACGACCCACTGGACACATGGGGGGAGTGGGCTCCGTGCGTAACACCCGCTCGATGTCCGCTTCAACCTCCCATACCTCCGGTGCCACCAGACAAGAAGCCGTAAGTATGGGAGTGGGCTCACTGGATCGCTCCTCTGTGTCATACAGCCGGGACAGAGCATCTGCCTTAGCATTCTGGGAACCTGGTCTGTACGAGAGGGTGAAAACAAAACGTGTGAAAAACATGGCCCACCTTGCCTGGCGAGGGTTCAGTCTCCTCACTGTCCGGATGTACTCCAGATTGCGGTGGTCAGTCCAAATGAGGAAAGGGTGTTTTGCCCCCTCAAGCCAATGTCTCCACGCCTTCAGAGCCTTAACAACAGCTAATAGAACCTGGTCCCCCACATCATAGTTATGCTCCACCGGACTGAGCCTCTTCGAAAAGAAAGCACAGGGACAGAGCTTTGGAGGCGTACCCGAGCGCTGATACAGTACAGCTCCATTCCCAGCCTCAGACGCGTCCACCTCGACTATGAATGCCAAGGAGGGATCAGGATGAGCCAGGACGGGAGCTGAGGTGAACAGAGCCTTCAGGTGACCAAAAGCCCTGTCCGCCTCAGCTGACCACTGCAGGCGCACCGGTCCCTCCTTCAGCAAGGAGGTAATGGGAGCCGCTACCTGACCAAAGCCCTGGATAAACCTCCGGTAGTAGTTGGCAAACCCTAAGAATTGCTGCACTTCCTTAACCGTGGTTGGAGTCGGCCAATTACGCACGGTTGAAATGCGGTCATTTTCCATCTCCTCCCCTGACGCGGACATGCGGTAGCCTAAGAAGGAGACAGACTGTTGAAAGAACAGACATTTCTCAGCCTTGATGTACAGGTCATGTTCCAACAGTCGACCAAGCACCTTGCGCACCAGGGACACATGCTCGGCTCGTGTAGCGGAGTATATGAGAATATCATCTATATACACCACTACAAATACTTCCTCGACAAAGGATTGGAAGACTGAGGGAGCATTCATCAACCCATACGGCATGACGAAGTACTCATAGTGCCCAGAGGTGGTACTGAATGCCGTCTTCCACTCATCCCCTTCCCGGATATGCACCAGGTTGTACGTGCTCCTGAGATCCAATTTGGTGAAGAAGTGCGCCCCGTGCAATGACTCCGTCATACTAGCAATGAGAGGTAGTGGATAACTGTACTTCACCGTTATCTGATTGAGACCTTGATAGTCAATGCACGGGCGTAAACCTCCATCCTTCTTCTTCACAAAAAATAAACTAGAGGAGGCAGGGGAAGTGGAAGGCCGACTGTATCCCTGTCCAAGAGATTCGGAGACATATGTTTCCATAGCCACCATCTCTTCCTGTGACAGAGATACACGTGACTCCGAGGAAGCGCAGCACCCTCTCAGAGATTTATCGCACAATCCCCCTGTCGATGGGGTGGTAATTGAGTCGCCTTCCTTTTACAGAAGGCGAGTGCCAAATCGGCATATTCGGGAGGAATGTGCATAGTGGAGACCTGGTTTGGACTCTCCACCGTAGTTGCACCTACGGAAACACCTACAAACCTCCCCGAGCACTGACGAGACCATCCCTTGAGAGCCCTCTGTTGCCACGAAATATTGGGGTCATGAGAGGCTAACCTGGGAAGCCCTAACACCACTGGAAACGCAGGAGAATCGATCAGGAAGAGACTAATTCTCTCCTCATGACCCTCCTGTGTTTTCATCCAGAGTGGAGCTGTGACCTCCCTAATCAGGCCTGACCCTAAAGGGTGACTATATAAGGCATGTACAGGGAAGGGCACATCAACAGGCACAATAGGGATCCCTAATCTATGAGCAAATAGACGGTCCATAAAATTCCCAGCTGCACCTGAATCTACGAGCACCTTATGCTGGGAATGCGTGGAAAACTCAGGAAATTCTACATGAACCCACATGTGCGCAACAGGGAGCTCTGGGTGAGTCGGGTGCCTACTCACCTGGGGTGGTCCACCAGTGCCCTGCCTGCTGCCTCGACTCCCTGAGGACCCTTTCCAGCACTGACCAGCAGTGTGTCCTCTGCGATGCAGTTGGTGCAGGAAACAGCCCCCCTTCCGGTCACCCTTAGATCAGCACCTCCGAGCTCCATCGGTGTAGGGTCGGAAGTGCTGGGGAATGGACTGGACAGACCCTGATCCGGACGTCCGCGGGTGGCCAACAGGTTATCCAGTCTAATCGATAAATCCACCAGTTGGTCCAGGTTAAGGGTGGTGTCCCTGCAGGCCAGCTCCTGGCGAACGTCCTCCCGTAGGCTGCATCGGTAATGGTCGATCAGGGCCCTCTCATTCCATCCTGCGCTGGCTGCCAAGGTCCTGAAGTCCAGTGCAAAGTCCTATGCGCTCCTCTTCCCCTGTCTGAGGTGGAATAACTGTTCCCCCGTCACTCACCCCTCCGGTGGATGATCAAATACCGCCCGGAAACGGCGGGTGAAATCCTCATAGCGCACCGATGCCGCGTCTATACTTCCCCACTTAGCGTTGGCCCACTCGAGCGCTTTCCCCGACAGACAGGAGATGAGGGCGGACACGCTCTCGTATCCCGAGGGAGCCAGGTGGATGGTTGTCAGGTAGAGCTACACCTGGAGCAGAAACCCCTGGCACCCGGCAGCTGTTCCATCATATGCCCTCGGGAGCGAGAGCCGAATCCCACTGGATCCAGGTGGTGAAGGGGTGGACAGCGGTGTGGAGTGAATAGTAGTGGAAGGAGGTGTAGAAAACCCCCCCCTCTCCCATCGCTCCATAGTCTGTACCACTCTATCCATGGCTGTGCCAAGAGTCTGTAGCATGGTTGAGTGCTGCTGGATGCGTTCCTCCACCGATCCTGGAGGAATGGATGTACCTGCTGACTCCATAACGGGTGTGTGATTATATCATGCGTCAGTGTGTAGCGGTAGGACGGAGTCAGGGGCAGGACACAGAACTAAGTAAATAAACATATCCTCCACGCAGGGAAGAAAATACAGACTCACAAAGCAAATGACAACAAGACAACGAACAATCACGCACAACACCATGAGAGAACCAGAGGGTAAAATAGGGAAACAAATTAACGTACATTGGAACCAGGTGTGTGCAATAAAGACAAAACAAGTAGAACACAGAAACTAGTTAAAAAATAGTTCAGTGGCAGCTAGTACTCCGGTGACAACGAACGCCGAAGCCTGCCCGAGCAAGGAGGAGGAGCAGCCTTGGCTGAATTCGTGACACCGTTAGTAAACCCGCTACAATCATGCAGTACAGTGTACAGTCATCAAGCAGTTTAGCACTACACCGGCAGGCCCCGGTGGCAATAAATTTATAAAACCAAAAGCTTACCTTGACTTGGAAGAGTTCCAGTGTTGGATAGCCATAGACAGCTAGCTAACATAGCATCCCTCTCTGTTTGAGCCGGGTGTTTGAGTAGGCTAAACTAGCTAGCTGCATTTGTCAACTACTCACCACATGTTATGCACTGCAGTGCTAGCTAGCTGTAGCTTATGCTTTCAGTGCTAGATTTTTGATTTTTGATTTATTTCACCTTTATTTAACCAGGTAGGCCAGTTGAGAACAAGTTCTCATTTACAACTGTGACCTGGCCAAGATAAAGCAAAGCAGTGCGATAAAAAAAACAACAACACAGAGTTACATATGGGATAAACAAAAACGTACAGTCAATAACACAATAGAAAAATGGAAAATCTATATACAGTGTGTGAAAATGTAGTAAGTTATGGAGGTAAGGCAATAAATAGGCAATAGTGCAAAATAATTACAATTTAGTATTAACACTGGCGTGATAGATGTGCAGAAGATGATGTGCAAATAGAGATACTGGGGTGCAAATGAACAGAATAAATAACAATATGGGGATGAGGTAGTTGGGTGGGCTAATTACAGAGGGGCTGTGTACAGGTGCAGTGATCAGTAAGCTGCTCTGACAACTGATGCTTAAAGTTAGTGAGGGAGATAAGAGTCTCCAGCTTCAGAGATTTTTGCAATTCGTTCCAGTCATTGGCAGCAGAGAACTGGAAGGAATGGCAGCCAAAGGAGGTGTTGGCTTTGGGGATGACCAGTGAGATATACAGTGGGGAGAACAAGTATTTGATACACTGCCGATTTTGCAGGTTTTCCTACTTACAAAGCATGTAGAGGTCTGTAATTTTTATGATAGGTACACTTCAACTGTGAGAGACGGAATCTAAAACAAAAATCCAGAAAATCACATTGTATGATTTTTAAGTAATTAATTTGCATTTTATTGCATGACTTAAGTATTTGATCACCTACCAACCAGTAAGAATTCTGGCTCTCACAGACCTGTTAGTTTTTCTTTAAGAAGCCCTCCTGTTCTCCACTCATTACCTGTATTAACTGCACCTGTTTGAACTCATTACCTGTATAAAAGACACCTGTCCACACACTCAATCAAACAGACTCCAACCTCTCCACAATGGCCAAGACCAGAGAGCTGTGTAAGGACATCAGGGATAAAATTGAAGACCTGCACAAGGCTGGGATGGGCTACAGGACAATAGGCAAGCAGCTTGGTGAGAAGGCAACAACTGTTGGCTCAATTATTAGAAAATGGAAGAAGTTCAAGATGACGGTCAATCACCCTCGGTCTGGGGCTCCATGCAAGATCTCACCTCGTGGGGCATCAATGATCATGAGGAAGGTGAGGGATCAGCCCAGAACTACACGGCAGGACCTGGTCAATGACCTGAAGAGAGCTGGGACCACAGTCTCAAAGAAAACCATTAGTAACACACTACGCCGTCATGGATTAAAATCCTGCAGCGCACGCAAGGTCCCCCTGCTCAAGCCAGCGCATGTCCAGGCCCGTCTGAAGTTTGCCAATGACCATCTGGATGATCCAGTGGAGGAATGGGAGAAGGTCATGTGGTCTGATGAGACAAAAATATAGCTTTTTGGTCTAAACTCCACTCGCCGTGTTTGGAGGAAGAAGAAGGATGAGTACAACCCCAAGAACACCATCCCAACCGTGAAGCATGGAGGTGGAAACATCATTCTTTGGGGATGCTTTTCTGCAAAGGGGACAGGACGACTGCACCGTATTGAGGGGAGGATGGATGGGGCCATGTATCGCGAGATCTTGGCCAACAACCTCCTTCTCTCAGTAAGAGCATTGAAGATGGGTCGTGGCTGGGTCTTCCAGCATGACAACGTCCCGAAACACACAGCCAGGGCAACTAAAGAGTGGCTCCGTAAGAAGCATCTCAAGGTCCTGGAGTGGCCTAGCCAGTCTCCAGACCTAAACCCAATAGAAAATCTTTGGAGGGAGCTGAAAGTCCGTATTGCCCAGCGACAGCCCCGAAACCTGAAGGATCTGGAGAAGGTCTGTATAGAGGAGTGGGCCAAAATCCCTGCTGCAGTGTGTGCAAACCTGGTCAAGGCCTACAGGAAACATATGATCTCTGTAATTGCAAACAAAGGTTTCTGTACCAAATATTAAGTTCTGCTTTTGTGATGTATCAAATACTTATGTCATGCAATAAAATGCAAATGAATTACTTAAAAATCATACAATGTGATTTTCTGGATTTTTGTTTTAGATTCCGTCTCTCACAGTTGAAGTGTACCTATGATAAAAATGACAGACCTCTACATGCTTTGTAAGTAGGAAAACCTGCAAAATCGGCAGTGTATCAAATACTTGTTCTCCCCACTGTACCTGCTTGAGCGCATACTACGGGTGGGTGTTGCTATGGTGACCAATGAGCTAAGATAAGGCAGGGATTTGTCTAGCAGTGATTTATAGATGACCTGGAGCCAGTGGGTTTGGCGACGAATATGTAGTGAGGGCCAGCCAATGAGAGCGTACAGGTCACAATGGTGGGTAGTATATTGGGCTTTGGTGACAAAACGGATGGCACTGTAATAGACTACATCCAATTTGCTGAGTAGTGTTGGAGGCTATTTTGTAAATGACATTGCCGAAGTCAAGGATCGGTAGGATAGTCAGTTTTACGAGGGCATGTTTGGCAGCATGAGTGAAGGAGGCTTTGTTGCGAAATAAGAAGCCGATTCTAGATTTAACTTTGGATTGGAGATGCTTAATGTGAGTCTGGAAGGAGAGTTTACGGTCTAACCAGACACCTAGGTATTTGTAGTTGTCCACATATTCTAAGTTAGACCCGCCGAGAGTAGTGATTCTAGTTGGGTGGAGGGGTGCAATTAGCGTTAGATTGAAGAGCATGCATTTCATTTTACTAGTGTTTAAGAGCAATTGGAGGCTACGGATGGAGTGTTGTATGGCATTGAAGCTCGTTTGTTACCACAGTGTCTAATGAAGGGCCAGATGTATACAAAATGGTGTCGTCTGCGTAGAGGTGGATCTGAGAGTCACCAGCAGCAGGAGCGACATCATTGATATACACAGAGAATAGAGTCGGCCCGAGAATTGAACCCTGTGGCACCCCCATAGAGACTGCCAGAGGTCCAGACAACAGGGCTTCCGACTTGACACATTGAACTCTATCTGAGAAGTAGTTGGGGAACCAGGCAAGTTGCAGCGGAGGGTGCAGAGCTGGTGGCCGGGGTAGGGGTAGCCAGGTGGAAAGCATGGCCAGCCGTAGCAAAATGCTTGTTGAAATTCTCGATTATCGTAGATTTATCGGTGGTGACAGTGTTTCCTAGCATCAGTGCAGTGGGCAGCTGGGAGGAGGTGCTCTTATTCTCCATGGACTTTACAGTGTCCCAAAACTTTTTGGAGTTAGTGCTACAGGATGCAAATTTCTGTTTGAAAAAGCTAACCTTTGCTTTCCTAACTGATTGTGTATATTGGTTCCTGACTTCCCTGAAAGGTTGCATATCGCGGGGGCTGTTCGTTGCTAATGCAGTACGCCACAGGATGTTTTTGTGCTGGTCAAGTGCAGTCAAGTGTGGGGTGAACCAGGGGCTATATCTGTTCTTAGTTCTGAATATTTTGAATGGGGCATGCTTATTTAAGATGGAGAGGAAATAACTTTTAAAGAACAACCAGGCATCCTCTACTGATGGAATGAGGTCAATATCCATCCAGGATACCCAGGCCAGGTCAATTAGAAAGGCCTGCTCGCTGAAGTGTTTTAGGGAGCGTTTGACAGTGATGAGGGGTGGTCGTTTGACCGCTGACCCATTATGGACACAGGCAATGAGGCAGTGATCACTGAGATCATGGCTATCTCTACAGTAGATTGCAACTGCCCACTTTGGCAGTTCTATCTAGACGGAAAATGTTGTAGTTGGGGATGGAAATTTCTGAATTTTTGGTGGCCTTCCTAAGCCAGGATTCAGACACTGCTTGAACATCCAGTCCAGTGATTCAGTCATTCCGGCAGAAAATCCGATATGCTCTGGGTCGATAGCGCGCTGTGCAGACTGTGCAGACTGGCCGATATTTGTCCAGGCTAAAGCTGGCTGGTAGGTACTACAGGCCACGGACAATGCTGAAGACCGCTAACGGTGGCTAATAGCAAGTAGCTAGCTAGCTGGCTAGCTGGCTAGTTTCAGCCGGAGGTTCTAGATAAAAAGGTATAAAGAAATAATAGAATCCGTTCCACATTGGATGAGGCGGGTTGCAGGAAAGTATATTTAGTTAAAGGATGGAAAGTGAGATTGAGAAATATATACGAAAAAGAAAAAAAAAAGAAAAAAAACTGGCTATTTACACGAGGACACTACAGAATACATGACCGCACTGCTACGCCATCTTGGATCATTCTCTGATCCTTTCATTGGTGGACAACATGTCAGTTCATGCAGTTGTCGTAATGTGTAAGTCTATGGAATGGGGGTGAGAACCACGAGCCTCCTAGGTTTTGTATTGAAGTCAATGTACCCAGAGGAGGACGGAAACTAGCTGTCTTCCAGCTACACCATGTTGCTACCCTACAGAGTGCTGTTGAGGCTACTGTAGACCTTCATTTCAAAACAGTGTGTTTTAATCAATTTTTTGGTGACGTGAATATACACTACATGATCAAAAGTATGTGGACACCTGCTCGTCGAACATCTCATTCTAAAATATGGAGTTGGTCCCCCCTTTGCTGCTATAACAGCCTCCACTCTTCTAGGAAGGCTTCCACTAGATGTTGGAACATTGCTGCGGGGACTTGCTTCCATTAAGCCACAAGAGCATTAGTGAGGTCAGGTACTGATGTTGGACGATTAGGCCTGACTCGCAGTCGGCGTTCCAATTCATCCCAAAGTTGTTCGATGGGGTTGAGGTAATGGCTCTGTGCAGGCCAGTCAAGTTCTTCCACACCGATCTCGACAAACGATTTCTGTATGGACCTCGCTTTGTGCACAGGGGCATTGTCATGCTGAAACAGGAAAGGGCCTTCCCAAACTGTTGCCACAAAGTTGGAAGCACAGAATCGTCTAGAATGTCATTGTATGCTGTAGTGTTAATATCTTCCTTCACTGGAACTAAGGGGCCTAACCCGAACCATGAAAACACCCAAAGACAATTATTCCTCCTCCACCAAACTTTACAGTTGGCAATATGCATTAGGGCAGGTAGCGTTCTCCTGGCATCCGCCAAACCCAGATTCGTCCGTCGGACTGCCAGATGGTGAAGCGTGATTCATCACTCCAAAGAACACGTTTCCAGTACTCCAGAGTCCAATGGCGGCGAGCTTTTCACCACTCCAGCCGACACTTGGCGCATGGTGATCTTAAGCTTTCCATGGCTGCTCGGCCATGGAAACCCATCTCATTAAGCTCCCAACAAACAGTTATTGTGCTGACGTTGCATCCAGAGGCAGTTTGGAACTCGGTAGTGAGTGTTGCAACCGAGGACACGATTTTTACATGCTACGCGCTTCAGCACTCGGCGGCCCTGTTCTGTGAGCTTGTGTGGCCTACAATAACAGCACTTGACCGGGCAGCTCTAGCAGGGCAGAAATTTGACGAACTGACTTGTTGGAAAGGTGACATCCTATGACGGTGCCACGTTGAAAGTCACTGAGCTCTTCAGTAAGGCCACTCCACTGACGGAGTCTACAAAACATTAGGAACACCTGCTCTTTCCATGACGTAGACTGACCTGGTGAATCCAGGTGAAAGCTACATTATGATCCCTTATTGATGTAACTTGTAAAATCCACTTCAATCAGTGTAGATGAACGGGAGGAGAAGGATGTTTAAGCCTTGAGGCAATTGAGGCATGGATTGTGTATGTGTGTCATTCAGAGGGTAAATGGGCAAGACAAAAGATTTTAGTGCCTTCGAACGGGGTATGGTAGTAGGTGCCAGGCGCGCCGGTTTGAGTGTGTCAAGAACTGCAATACTGTTAGTTTTTTCACGCTCAACAGTTTCCTGTGTGTATCAAGAATGGTCCACCACCCAAAGGACATCCATCCAACTTGACACAACTGTAGGAAGCATTGAAGTCAACATGCGCCAGCATCCCTGTGGAACGCTTTCGACATCTTGGTGTCCATGCCTCGACGAATTGAGGCTGTTCTGAGGGCAAAAGGGGGTGCAACTCAATATTAGGAAAGTTTTGTACACTCAGTGTAAAACGTTTATCCAACCATAGTCCAACTGAGAGCTGCCAAGGTGGGGAGTTTCTATGTGTGGAGCCTAGGTCATGGCTGTCAGGGAGGCGGGTGCAGTGTAAAAGCTGCTACACTGTAACTATTTACCTTTCACTCTGTGTTAAACTGACAGGCAGGCAGGCAGGGCTCCCTAGAGATGGATAGAGGCCTTCTTCCACATGATCAGGATTAGCAGTAGCAGCAGCTCAGCCCTGACCAGGGAATGCAGCATGGTAGTCTGCAGACCTACGGTGATACCTCAGAGATAAATGGCAAAGAGTGAAAGAATGGTGTCTCATCCCATGGCTTTGCTCAAGCAAAACATTTTATATGTTTACAGTACCAGTCAAAAGTTTGGACACACCTACTCATTCAAGGGTTTTATTGTAGAATAATAGTGAAGACATCAAAACTATGAAATAACATATGGAATCATGTAGTAACCAAAAAAGTGTTAAACAAATCAAAATATATTTTAGATTTGAGATTTTTCAAATAGCCACCGTTTGCCTTGATGACAGCTTTGCACACTCTTGGCATTCTCTCAACCAGCTTCACCTGGAATGCTTTTCCAACAGTCTTGAAGGAGTTCCCACATATGCTTAGCACTTGTTGGCTGCTTTTCCTCCACTCTGACGTCCGACTCATCCCAAACCATCTCAATTGGGTTGAGGTCGGGGGATTGTGGAGGCCAGGTCATCTGATACAGCACTCCATCACTCCTTCTTGATAAAATAGCCCTTACACAGCCTGGAGGTGTGTTGGGTCATTGTTCTGTTGAAAAACAAATGATAGTCCCACTAAGCCCAAACCAGATGGGATGGCGTATCGCTGCAGAATGCTGTGGTAGCCATGCTGGTTAAGTGTGCCTTGAATTCTAAATAAATCACAGACAGTGTCACCAGCAAAGCACCCCCACACAATAACACCTCCTCCTCCATGCTTTATGGTGGGAACTACACATGCGGAGATAATCCGTTCACCCACACCGCGTCTCACAAAGGCACGGCAGTTGGAACCAAAAATCTCCAATTTGGACTCCAGACCAAAGGACACATTTCCACCGGTCTAATGTCCATTGCTCGTGTTTCTTGGCCCAAGCAGGTCTCTTCTTCTAATTGGTGTCCTTTAGTAGTGGTTTCTTTGCAGCAATTCGACCATGAAGGCCTGATTCACACAGTCCCCTCTGAACAGTTGATGTTGAGATGTGTCTGTGACTTGAACTCTGTGAAGCATTTATTTGGGCTGCAATTTCTGAGGCTGGTAACTCTAATGAACTTATCCACTGCAGCAGAGGTAACTCTGTGTCTTCCATTCCTATGGTGGTCCTCATGAGAGCCAGTTTCATCATAGCGCTTGATGGTTTTTGCGACTGCACTTGAAGAAACTTTAAAAGTTCTTGAAATGTTCCGTATTGACTGACCTTCATGTGTTAACGTAATGATGGACTGTTGTTTCTCTTTGCTTATTTGAGCTGTTCTTGCCATAATATGGACTTGGTCTTTTACCAAATAGAGCTATCTTCTGTATACCCCCCCACCTTGTCATAACACAACTGATTGGTTCAAACGCATTAAGAAGGAAAGAAATTCCACAAATTAACTTTTAAGGAGGCACACCTGTTAATTGAAATGCATTCAAGTGGACTACCTCATGAAGCTGGTTGAGAGAATGCCAAGAGTGTGCAAAGCTGTCATCAATGCAAAAGGTGGCTATTTGAAGAATCTCAAATATAAAATATATTTAGATTTGTTGAACACTTTTTTGGTTACTACATGATTCCATATATGTTATTTATAATAATAATATGCCATTTAGCAGACGCTTTTATCCAAAGTGACTTACAGTCATGCGTGCATACATTTTTGTGTATGGGTGGTCCCGGGGATCGAACCCACTACCTTGGCGTTACAAGCGCCGTGCTCTACCAGCTGAGCTACAGAGGACCACATTATTTCATAGTTTTGATGTCTTCACTATTATTCTACAATGTAAAAAATAGTTTAAAAAAATTGAAAAACCCTTGAATGATTAGGTGTGTCCAAACTTTTGACTGGTATTCTATATTCAGAATAACATTGACTTATGACTATATTATGTTGGCCTCACAGTGATTCTTACCTAATACCTGTCATTCATTTTCTTGAAAAGCAGTCTTTTCAGACAGAAAAAAAACACAATACTATATGGAAATTAAGGTGTTCTGTGTTCAAGATCATTCTCAATGCTCCTCATGGTAGATTATCAAAAAATACATTTCACAGTAAACCTACTGCCTAAGGCCTTTTTAGTGTTCTGAGAGAAGTCCATCTGTTGTGTTCTATTAGAGTGATTGATCATTCATCTACAGAATGCCTACTTCTTCTTGTGGCCATTTGTCAATTATGTGTTTATCTAACTGTAATTTGACAAAGTGACATTTTGTGCATTCGTCATAATTCATACAGGATAAATGTACTGAAAGTAATGAAATGTATTAAAATGTACCTGAATCTTTTGTGACACATTTAGTATGTTTTTCTGTGTATTGTTTCCTTATAGTTCTTGGCAGAGGCTTCCAAGGGAAGTATTGAACAATTAATTAAATGAATGATCCTTTCTGGCTTTCTTTTGATTTTGCTTTCGCCCTCTTGTTCCCCTCCTCTTATTTCTCTGGTGTTTGGTTGTTCTGTTTCTCTTCTCACTGTGTGCTCGCTCATTCCTCTGCCTAGACCCAGTAAACCAGTTTTGTGAAGAAGTCCTGAACTTTCTGCTCTGTCCCTACTTCCCTCCTGCCGTAGCCCCGTCTTCCCCTGGTGTTGACTCCATCCCCTTGCAGCGTACAGGCAGCCAGAACGCCTCAGGCACTTTGCCCTACCAGAGAAGCAGCTTTGCCACTGGCTCAGCTGCCGAATACGCCAACCCGTACCGCACCCTCCAGTTCTGCCCATCCACCGAGTCTCCCTACAGCAAGTCTGGCCCCGTGCTGCCCCCGGAGGCCGCACTGGCCCGCTCACCTTCTGTCGACAGCATCCAGAAGGATCCCAGGTGAGTGCAACTACAGCGCTGCTATTTATAACACATCTCACCTCTCCTCCCCTTCAGTCAGACCACTGAATATAAAGCACACATCCACATCACATCACTGCCTACCAGTCCCTCCCCTGTTTGGCCGGTCGGTACCACTATGCTGTGAATGACACAGCCACTGTTTTCTGGAGGGCACATGAATCTTGTTAAACCTCACCTTTTCCTTCACCTTGTGTTGTTTAAACTTTTACGTGTGTGTGTCTGTGTCTCTGTGTGTGTGTGTGTGTGTGTGTGTGTGTGTGTGTGTGTGTGTATGTGTGTGTGTGGTGTGTATGTGTGTGTGTGTGTGTGTGTGTGTGTGTGAGTGTCATAAAGTGTTTGACTGGGAGTGGCCTTGAGTCATAAGCTGTATGGCTGTATTGCTATACTATCAGAGTTGCTTTTGTGTGGGTCTGATCAAGGAGTTTATTCCTTTTGAGCAAATATAAATAAAATAAAAACAATACTGTCAATGCCAGTAAACAACAACAACATGTTTAATCACTAGGAATACATACTAATGAAAGAGTTATCAGAGAAAACAGAAATATCTGTGTTTGCAATACTCTACAATTTCATGACTTTGATTTATCCCATTCTGTTTTCTTCATTCACCATCCCCTGTACTGTTTAGTTGTTTCTCGATCTTTCTTTCCTTTTCCACATTGCACTGTATCTGCTGTAGCTCTGGCATTACTTTTGGCGTTTGCACACTCTTTCAGTGGATTGACTTGTGATGCGTTGATTTGCTGGCTGCAACCAACTTCACTACATGCACAGTCAATTACAGTAATCTCCTAATTAGAAATGACTCCCTTTTTATTTGGTTACTTCATTTTCATTATTGTTAAAGGGTGGGTCTCACCAAAGCAGGTCTCCAATCTATCTTCATTTCAATTAGTTGTGGGAAAACTAGGCCTATATTGTGCATAGCAAAGCAATTAAATTATAGAAAGTGATGAATTACATGTTTTAATGAATCATGTTCAAAGTCAACAACCAAAACAATGTTCTATTAAAAAAATACTCAACCACAATTAAGGTTGTTATATTTGGCTACAGTATGTAGCTGTAAGTTACAATTTTTCGAATGGTAAATGGTTGTTTGCATGATCTAATTAATGTCACTATTTAGCAGAGTCCTAAACTATAGGAAAGCATATTCCTAAAACATCTATTCAGATTTTAGAAAGACAATAATAAGATCACTGGAACGTGTCTCTCCACAAACCATGATAATGGTTCTGATGACTGAACAATCCATAATTGACCTAGCTGATAGACAATTGATCTTCATATTTATTGGTTTTGTAAGACCCCCTCTTTAAAAGATCCCCATCCACCACAATCAAATCACCTAGTGCATGTTCTGAATCCAGTGTAAGTGTGTAATATGAAAAGTGTTGAGAAAGAAAGACATTCAAATGAATATTATTTTATTATTGTCAAGCTCCTTTGTGCGAGACACCCACCTACATTTTTTTCTTTCTGCCTGTCTCCTGATAGGTACGACCCTGAATTCCTTGTCTGGAATCAAAATCAAGCCGAGCAAAGAATGACAAAGTAATCCAGCATTTATTTACATATTTCTATCTCTCATTCACTGAATCTGTCCTTCATGTCTACTATACAAATACCAGGCACATCTCCTTACCAATGAAAGAGCATGAATGACAATAGTTCAGTTCTATTTTCCATTGCATTGTCCTCTGATTCCCATATACTTACAGTAGCTACTTCACTGAAAGCTCCATATTACTTCCTCAGGAAAGGTAAAGTAAAGGTAGTGCCATTGGTGCTGTCCACGATTTTATATACAGTATCTTCTCACAGACTAGGTTTAGGTTTATGTATCTATTTGCCTCTAAGTTTCTCAAGTTTACTCTTCGGGTTTATCTAGTAATTAATGGTAAAGATGTGATGTTGTGAAGTTACTCTTTACTAAAGCTTTTAGGGCTTTCTAAGTGACAGCAGTTGGAAGCTTTTTGGGTAGGTTACGGGTACTTGCTGATTGTGTGAGGATAGCAACAGTAGGAATCCATTATCCAACAATCATACATTTCTCCTTCATTTCACATCATTCATCGTCATTTTTCTCTCATCATTTTCTAAATGTGCCTCATCATCCCAAGTTTTACTGTTACTTGTGCAGTAATCAAGGGGCAGAATCCATTAACTTAAATGTCACTTTTGCAGTATGTGATCATACTACCTTTATGTAATTCTTCTTAAGTAATATTCAAACTGATATCTATGTGGTAGTTGCCAATTTACGTATGAATCATGTTGCAGATTCATAAGCTGTTACATTTTAGTACATATACAGTGGTTCCTCAATTAAACGTTTTGAGTTTAAACTACCAATTGAATATCACGAAATTGGGGAGAAAAAGGGGTAAAAAAAATAAAATATGCTGATGTGGAAAAAATTAAGAGACCACTGCACATTTTTCTTACATGTATGACAGCGATTCCATTCCAGTGTCTGTTGAATTCCAACACAGGCACACCTCATTCTACTGAATTAGGTACTGATTAGGTGATCACCTGAACCAAATCTTATTTAACGAGGAAAAGTATAAAAACCACTGCAGTGGTCATCACTATCCTCTTGCAATAGGACCAGCTGGATGGCAAAAACAGTGCTAATAGTACCTCAAAAGTAATATTAATCAAAAAATAACTACTGACCATGGCAAAAGAGTTGAAAAGGAAAGTTTTGAGTGAGGAAAAGAAGGGTTCAATTCTGGCTTTACTGGCAGAGGGATACAGTGAGCGTCAGGTTGCTTCCATCCTTAAAATTTCAAAGATGGCGGTTCATAAGAACACGGTCAAGCAGCAGACTTTGGGGACAACAAAGCTACAGACCGGCAGAGGGCGAAAACGACTCTCTACTGACCGGGATGACCGCCAACTCATTCGAATGTCATTCAATGTCATTCAATGAAAAAAGAATGGCAAACAGCAGCTGGGGTGAAATGCACGGCGAGGACGGTTCGAAACAGGCTCCTAGGAGCAGGGCTGAAGTCGTGCAAAGCTAGAAAAAAGCCCTTCATCAATGAGAAGCAAAGAAGAGCCAGGCTGAGGTTTGCAAAATACCATAAGGATTGGACCGTAGAGGACTGGAGTAAGGTCATCTTCTCTGATGAGTCCAATTTTCAGCTTTGCCCAACACCTGGTCGTCTAATGGTTAGACGGATACCTGGAGAGGCCTACAAGCCACAGTGTCTCGCACCCACTGTGAAATTTGGTGGAGGATCGGTGATGATCTGGGAGTGCTTCAGCAAGGCTGGAATCGGGCAGATTTGTCTTTGTTAAGGACGCATGAATCAAGCCACGTACAAGGTTGTCCTGGAAGAAAACTTGCTTCCTTTTGCTCTGACATTGTTCCCCAACTCTGAGGATTGGTCTTTACAGCAGGACAATGTGCCATGCCACACAGCCAGGTCAATCAAGGTGTGGATGGAGGACCATCAGATCAAGACCCTGTCATGGCCAGCCCAATCTCCAGACCTGAACCCCATTGAAAACTTCTGGAATGTGATCAAGAGGAAGATGGATGGTCACAAGCCATCAAACAAAGCCAAGCTTCTTGTATTTTTGCGCCAGGAGTGGCATAAAGTCACCCAACATCAATGTGAAAGACTGGTGGAGAGCATGCCAAGACGCATGAAAGCCGTGATTGAAAATCAGGGTTATTCTACCAAATATTGATTTCTGAACTCTTCCTAAGTTAAAACATTAGTGTTGTGTTGTTTAAAAATGAACATTAACTTATTTTCTTTGCATTATTTGAGGTCTGACAACACTGCATCTTTTTTGTTATTTTGACCAGTTGTTATTTTCTGCAAATAAATGCTCTAAATGACAATATTTTTATTTGGAATGTGGGAGAAATGTTGTCAGTAGTTTATAGAATAAAACAAAAAAATAATTTTTACCCAAACACATACCTATAAATAGTAAAACCAGAGAAAGTGATAATTTTGCAGTGGTCTCTTAATTTTTTCCACAGCTGTATATATACAAAACAATTTTTAAAAAAGTGTTCAGTTTATGCCGCAGCGCATTAAGGTAGATTGTGATATAGTGCGGTACATTGCGTCACAGCAAGGGGGAGGTATAATTCTGATTATGCTTTTGGGTTCAGTCTAAAGCGTTGGTACCCAGGCGCTAATGTGTCTCATCACTGAATGAATGACGTGAATTGATGAATAGGTGATAGAAACCAGATAGAAACAGATAATTGTGCACGTGACTTCACGATTTAATTTGAATGAACTGAATGATGAGGATGAAGAAGAAGAGGCTGATTGAATTTAAAACAATAGTGTAAAAATTGCTCTTCCTCTGTCCCGTGTGAACATCCGGAAAAAGACACCTATTTTTTCTTCTACTTTGTCAGAAGAAGCTGTAACTGAACTGTAGTCTATTACTTACTAAAACTGTTGTTACACTGTAAGGTTTCTATTCTAAGAGAAACGAAAATGTTCTGTTATATTCCATTTTATTCTTTCAATATACAGTGGGGGAAAAAAAGTATTTAGTCAGCCACCAATTGTGCAAGTTCTCCCACTTAAAAAGATGAGAGAGGCCTGTAATTTTCATCATAGGTACACGTCAACTATGACAGACAAATTGAGGGAAAAAAATCCAGAAAATCACATTGTAGGATTTTTTATGAATTTATTTGCAAGTTATGGTGGAAAATAAGTATTTGGTCACCTACAAACACTCTCACAGACCTGTAACTTCTTCTTTAAGAGGCTCCTCTTTCCACTCGTTACCTGTATTAATGGCACCTGTTTGAACTTGTTATCAGTATAAAAAGACACCTGGCCACAACCTCAAACAGTCACACTCCAAACTCCACTATGGCCAAGACCAAAGAGCTGTCAAAGGACACCAGAAACAAAATTGTAGACCTGCACCAGGCTGGGAAGACTGAATCTGCAATAGGTAAGCAGCTTGGTTTGAAGAAATCAACTGTGGGAGCAATTATTAGGAAATGGAAGACATACAAGACCACTGATAATCTCCCTCGATCTGGGGCTCCACGCAAGATCTCACCCCGTGGGGTCAAAATGATCACAAAAACGGTGAGCAAAAATCCCAGAACCACATGGGGGGACCTAGTGAATGACCTGCAGAGAGCTGGGACCAAAGTAACAAAGCCTACCATCAGTAACACACTACGCCGCCAGGGACTCAAATCCTGCAGTGCCAGACGTGTCCCCCTGCTTAAGCCAGTACATGTCCAGGCCCGTCTGAAGTTTGCTAGAGTGCATTTGGATGATCCAGAAGAGGATTGGGAGAATGTCATATGGTCAGATGAAACCAAAATAGAACTTTTTGGTAAAAACTCAACTCGTCGTGTTTGGAGGACAAAGAATGCTGAGTTGCATCCAAAGAACACC